TTTTTATTACTTAAATACAATAAAAATTGACCACTATTCTTTACGTTGCTGGAGATGCGGATCAAAAAATCAGTAGCTTAACTTTGTTATTATAATAGTATTTTTTTTAATTAGCTTAAATTTATTAAATACAATAAATTTGATATTTTAATGTATTAAAAATTGACCTGGGCATTTTTTCTTAGGTCAAAAGTCTATGCCGTAACTATATTATGGTGCTATTCCTTACGTTGCTAGAGATGCGAAACTTGATCAACTGAGCTGTTTTCAACTATTATTAATGAAGAACATGTAGCTGAAATTGCATACGAATTAATAAAAATGCTACTAAATATAGTATAAGAAATAACCCAAGTTACTTCTTCATGAAAGCAAAGATGGATTTACTTGTGAATTATTTTAGAATTTATGCAATAAAAAACAAATACTATTATAGTTATAAATGTGAAAAACAAAAATAATATTAAAAAAGTTCTTGGTAGGATATAATCCACTTGAATAGGATAATAGTAAACACTGTTGGGTTAGATGTCATAATAGCTTTGTTTTATTTTATTAAAAAATAGTGCAATCCAAAATTCTATTTTAGATCGTGCCAAAAAACCAGAATATTAATTTTTTGCTTATAATCTTGGCATGTTCATAGATTATAATGAACAAGATAAGGGTTGTTATACTTTGTTATCATCTTGCACATTGTAAAAAACAAATTGACATGGGTATGCCTAATTCAGTCAGTAAATTAATAAATGATGCATGCTAATTAAGAATTGCCAAAATTTTTAATTGACGCAGAACTTAAATTTTAGCTACATTAATGCATGCTATATATTCTTTTAGCAGGACATACCAACAAAATTGATTGTTAATATTTCGATTTCGCAAGCTGAATGTAGTTTGATCCGATCTTCTCGCATAATAAAATAAAGGGTTTGCAATATTGATTAAAGTTTTGTCATCAAGAATTTAGTATACCTTATTTACTCTGCAGAGTTATACTTTATTTCAGTATTTTGCTCTAAGATTTTAATTCGACCATTTAAAATATTATGATATCATACCTTATATCATTCCAGAAGTTCTATTAGCTTTCTTTGAGAGTTCCAAATTGCAACACTAAATTAAAATATATATGTAATATTTATAAATTTGCTAATTTCAAACAATAATTTGATATAAACTTGCTGGATCTTGAAACTGTGTTTATAACTAAAAGCTAAAAAAAACTTTTTTGCAATGGCATTTCCCACAAATCTCCAACATATAACTTAGTAAAATACACTTACTTCTTCGTTTATTTATCAAGCAACTACCTTTTGAAATGTTGTGGGATCAGGGCAGATTCTGAATTTACATATCAAAAATAATGTATTTTGATATTTTTTTTTGTGCTTTCTATTTAAAAAAAAATTTTTTTTATGTAATGACTTGTGCGCATTTTTAATATATATAGAGATTATCAAATTTATTCTGGAAAATTCATCTACTATATCATCGATCAATTTTCAAATTTGGTAATATCCGAGACTGTAATAATAGTGCATTGTCTATATATATTTATAGCTGTTGTTAATGTACATAAAGTACAATGAGTAAGTGGTGATATATTAGTATCTAAGGCTGGAGGTAGCTAATGTATAATCTGTATATTGTTTTTTAGTAGTTTGGTTTTGAAGACCTTCCCTATTATTGGTATATTTTGAAATTTTCTAAGTATCCAGCTTGTTTGTGTTGATATAATCTTATTTGTGATAAATGGATTAGGACTCACAGTTGGGATGTGTGGTGTAGTAGGTTTCAATAGTGTGTTATGGAGCTTCAAAAACCACTTTGGTAACCATTTTGATATTATTTTTTGAGTTTTGTAGACTAGCTGGTGCCAGGTAAGTAGTTCTGTATTTGTATGATTAGTGAGTTGTTTAATTGCATAGATGTTTGCACGATTTGTGAAGGTTTTGATATGGCTAGGATTCTTGCAGTACTTAATTAGTTGATTAATTATTGTGCCAGAATGCTTGGTGGGTATAGGCCAAGGATTAGGTAAGTTCAAAATTATTATATTGAGTTGGTATACTATACAAATTGTTTGTGCTGTAAGTATACTATTATATTTGGTAAATAAAATGAATTGTGAGGATTGTAGTATACTAGTTGGTGCCATAGAGGCATTTTGTAGATGCTGCAAGTATATTTTGATAGGTAATCTGGTGAGTAGATTATTGATTTGAGTATGCAGTGCAGATATATAGTTTTGAACTTGAATATCATTAAGTTAACAGAGTCTATATATTTGATGACAAAATATCGTTGCATTGGGAATGCGAGTTGTAAGGTCTGCCTTATGTTTGACAACTTGTATATATTGGTTTGTAACTTTTGAGTATATATTCTGGTGTATGAATATATTAAGTGTTTTATAGAAAAATCGTAAAATAAGTACTGTATTAATAATGTATATAGCTTGCTTGTCAATTATCTTTTTCCTTTTAATTGTTTTTATCAGGCTAGTAGCCTCTTCTATTATTTGTTCATAAATAATTTTATAACTATTAGTAGTAACAAACCAGCAGCCAAGATAGCTAAATAAATCTTTTTTAGAGATACACTGATCGAAAAGATAAAATTCAATCCCAAATCAGCCAGAAATTAGCCAAAATTCGCCCACAAATCGGTAGTCGATTGGCAAATTTTGGTCAGACTCAGATTGAATCGGCCAAAATGATCGATCTAGATTTGATCTAAAAAACACCAGGTAAAAAAAAAAGGTAGCTAATTGTTTAAATCGGTAGCCGATTATAGGCTGATTGTTTATACAGGTAGTCGATTATAGGTCAAATGCTAAATTTTTAATATTTGACCTAAAATCGGCTTCCGAATTTTGGCTGATTGTTATAAATATTCAGCCAAAATTCGGTAGCCGATTTTAGATCAAATATTAAAATTTAGCATTCGATCTATAATTGGCTACCTGTATAAACAATTAGCCTATAATCAACTACTAATTTAAACAATCAGCTACCTTTTTTTTTACCTGGTGTTTTTTAGGTCGAATCTAGATCGATCATTTTGGCCGATTCGACCTGAGTTTGACTAAAATTTGCTAATTAACTACCGATTTGTGGGCGAATTTTGGCCAATTTCTGGCTGATTTGGGGTCGAATTTTACCTTTTCGACCAGTGATAGCAGAGATAATAGAATTTGCAAAGAATATGATTAGTGTGAAGTTAGTAGTACTATTTGTAGATAGAATTGATTTTGCTAGATTTATAGTAATATGTGACATATTGTAAAATGAATTTGCTATATCAACAATATTTTGTAGATGCTGTTTACTGGGGGCAAGCCACAGAGTATCGTCCATATAAGCTAGCACAGAAGTATTATAAGTAACTAAGTTGTTGGAAGGTAGTTGTATAGACATAATATATTCTGTAAATTTAGTTGAAATATAAGTAATTAGAGGATCATAGTATATATACCAGAGTAGAGGTGTAATTGTTTTTCTTTGATCGATTTTATCCTGTATATCGTAGTATGGTGTCAAGCTAACATCAGCAAAAAATATATATGAAAATTTTCGAAAAAATTTTCACGCCAAAATTTTTTGAAAAAATTTTATTTAACGCGAAAAATTTCGAAAATTAAAATTTCGAAAAAGTTCAAAAAAATTTTCGAAATATTGCGAAAAATATTGCAAAAAATTTCAAAATAAATTTTATAATAACAATTTATAATATTGCGAATATTTTCGAAATTTTTCGAAATTTTTTGAAAAAATGCGAAAAATATGCGAAAAAATGCGAAATAATTTAAATTAAATTATAAATTGACAATAAATAAACTTATTAATCAAATACTCATTAATTTCATAATTTTGAACTTTATCAAATATTTTTGAATATTTTCAAATATATCGATCTTTTTATACTTTATTATTTTTGTATTAATATTGATTTAATTTATTTTATACAAAATTTCATTTTTCATTTTAATTTATAATACATAATAAACTAATATAAATTAAAAGCAAAATTATTATTTTTATTAAAAAAAATTTCGTAAATTAAAAAGCTAAGAATTTTTTATCATCTTTAAATCGTTTTCAGCTTCTTTCGATTACCTGTATGATTTCAAAAAAAACAAAAAAGCAGCACTATTTGTTAAAAAAAAAACAAAAATAAAAATTTTACTCATTTTCAGGTTCTTCTTCATTTTCGGATATATCTGAAATTATTTAGATATTTTTCATAATTAATATATTTAAGTTTTCAAAACATTAATTTTTTTAATTATTTTTTTGTATTATAACCTTTTCTAGGTCTTTTTCTTGCCTAAAAAAAAATATATTTTTTTAATTTTTCAAAAATTATCTTTTATTTTTTTTAAATATAATCTTACTTTTTTGAAAGTTTGCGCATAACTTTTGCGTTTATTACTTGCTGCCTTTAAAATTTGTAGAATTTTAAATTTAAATTAATTATTTTAATTTAGTAAATTATGATATTGTATTATTATATTTTAAAATTACTAGCGTTTATAAAATAAATTTACCTTTTCAGATTCATGGTAATATTTTCATCTGTTTCAAGTTCTTCTAAATCTTCGCTTTCTTCGGAGCTAAAAGTTTCTTCGTCAGAAAGTGTCGATGAAAATGCTTCACCTTTTTCTAAGATACACTAATATATTTGAAATAATTCGATTTTATTAAAATAATAATAATAATAATAATAATTGTGAGGGACCAGCATGAGGTTGGTCCAACGTGAGGTTAATTAGTATTTTTTATGATTACTAATCATTGGCGGACTTTAAATACTAATTAACCTCACGTTGGACCAACCTCATGCTGGTCCCTCACAATAATTATAATACATATAATTATTATAAATACTACCTTCATTCGCTTGTTAAATTATAATAAAAAAAATTATATAACATTCTTACCAAGTGTATTAAGCTATTATTATTTTTTCGAATAAACTATCTTATCATTATTAATATGCCGAAAAAAAGTAAAATTTGGGATTATTGGAATATTTTGGCACCCAAAGAATTAAGTCAGCTTAATAGTTGTAGCGAAACATCAAGTAATGATGAAGATGATACAGAAGATTTTGTTTCTTCTTCATCAAATACTCAAGATCAGAAAGGCGCCAAAAAATTACATCCACCTGTAAAATGTAAATACTGCCCTAAAAAATTCAAACGCGGACTTGCAACTCGTATGCAAAGTCATACTAATAATTGTTATAATGCACCTGAATCAGCAAAGACTATCAAAAAACCGAAGCTGCAAGATTCAGATTTAACTCAACAAAGTACTATAGTGAGTTATGTTGATCGAATGGAACATAATGAAATATCAAACATAGATTATAAATTTGCTAAAGCAATTTATGCTTCGGGCATTCCTCTTAGTACATTTAAAAACCCTTTTTGGGTGAAATTTTTTTATGCTCTTCGGCCATCATTTAAAATTCCTAATCGAGATAAATTATCAATAGAGTTGTTAGAAAATGTATATGAAGATATTAAAAATGATGTTAAATATAAAATAGATAATACACAAAATCTTACTATGGTCTCTGATGGTTGGTCAAATGTCAAACATGAAGCGGTTCAAAATTTCATTATTTGTTTACCTAATCCAGTTTTTTATGATGCAATTTTTTCTGGAGAAGCTCGTCATACAGGGGAGTGGATTTCAACCCAAATTATTACAAAAATGGAAGAAGTAGAAAATTATAAATTTTCATCAGTTATTACAGATACGGCAGCTAATATGAAAGCTGCTTGGAAAATAATTGAAGAAAAATATCCTCATATTATTTGTCTCGGATGCTCTTCACATGTTATTAATTTATTAATTGGCGATATTTTAAAAATAGATGAAATTAAAATAGTTTTAGAAGATGTCAAAACGGTTGTTAAATATTTTAAAGATCATCATGTTTCAATGGCAAAATTACGACGTATTCAAAAAGAAAATTATGGTAAAGAAATTGCTCTTGTTCTTCCTGTAATTACACGATGGGGTACACATCTAGATTGCATTAAATCTCTTATCGAATCACAAACAGCAATTCAACAAATGATTTATGATCAAAGTACAACATCATTAGAAGCGCGAATTAAAGTGCAATTACATTCAAATGAATTTTGGAATAACCTTAAAGTTATCATTAGAATTCTTAAACCAATTGTTGCTGCTTTAAAAGCATTTGAAGCTGATAGCTCAACAATTTCAACAACATATTCCCGATTTAATATGATTTTAACTGAAATCCAAAAAATTAATTGTAACTATTTAGCAGCAATTCAACAAAAAATTCAAAATCGTTGGAATTATATCTACCATCCTATTATGACTATTGCATTCATATTAGATCCAAATTATCTTGAAGAGAGCAAAAAAAATATTAATGAATCTGATTGTTTATCGACATTTGCAAACTTTATTTCCTTAAAGTATCCTTCCAAAGAAGCATCTAGAATCTATGCTGAATTATTAAAATTTCGTAACAAACAAATACCATATAATAATGAATTAATTTGGAATTCGGCTGTTCACCTTAATCCTTCAACTTGGTGGTCTTCTTGGCCTTTATCGGAGCTTCAAAAACTTGCAATTCGCATCTTGTCAATTCCGACTTCATCTGCTTCTGCAAAACGTAATTATTCTAATTTCGGATACATTCATTCAAAAACTAGAAATCGGTTAAAAAATGAGCGAGTAAAAAAATTAGTTTATATCTATAGTAACTTAAGAATACATTACACAAAAAAAGAACATATTATTGAACATAATGAAAACAAAAATATTGGAGTTTTAGGTGAAGAAGATATCAATAATGAAAATGCCGAAGAAGACTATATTGATAATGAAAATGCTGAAGAAGATTATATCGATAATGAAAATGCTGAAAATGATTTTAATTTAAATAACGATGATATATTTATTTAACTTTTTTTTGATTTTTTATATATAGTTATATATGAACACTATGTCTGATGTATTAAATTTTTTTACTTTTTTTGATTTTTTCGCTTCGCTATTTAACTATATGTATCTGATAGATTAAATTTTTAACTTTTTTTCATTTTTATATATAAACGTTATATATTAACTATATCTGATATATTAAATTTTTTTAAATAAAATATTATAAGTTATATACTAGTCATACGTATATCATTTAACTTTATATATTTATTATACCATACTATACGGTATAATACAGTATGATACCCGGTATTATACTAGGCATTTTTATTATACCGGTATAATCGCAACCCTAGACAGGGCGAACATATCAGATGATTTATTAGGTCACATGTTGAATATGTTTTAATTTGTTTATCCTTTTGTTTGTTATGTACATCATGTTAAATGCGAGTTTGTGTGATTGTTAGAAGCATTGTTTGTATAGGGGGCTCAGATGTGAATGGACTAGGGATGATAGAAGGTTATTTTCACATGTTAAGATTGATGCGATAAATTGGGTTATTGATATGCAATTATGACATAAATGGCTGAGGTGTATATGAACATATATAAATTTTTTTCATA